GGGTGGCTGGCGCTGTGCCGTGCCAGGTGCAGGGTCTGCTGGCTGGGTGCTGGCAGGCTTGCACCTGGCACAGGCACCGTAGCCAGCCCGTGGCCCTTTAAGGGCTCCAGGGCCGGGAGGGGGGCCGAAGAGTTTCCCTGGTGGTGCCCAGAGTGGCCACCAGGGAAAGCTGGGGAGGGCTAGCCTCCAGCTAGTTTGAATTAAGTGGCTATACAGCCCTTAATTCGAACTACTTAATTCGAACTAGGCTTAGTCCTCGTGGAATGAGGTTTACCTAGTTCGAATTAAGCGCTCCGCTAGTTCGAATTAAGTTCGAACTAGCGGTTTGCCTGTGTAGCGCCTATCAAAGTTAGTTCGAACTAACGGCTGTTAGTTCGAATTAACTTTGTAGTGTAGACATACCCTTACAGTGTAAGGGGAGACAGAGAAATCAAACAATCCCTTAAATAAGAGCAACGAGAATGATTAAAGGACTAGAGAACATGACCTATAAGGGAAGGCTGAAGGAATTGGGTTTGTTTAGTTTAGAAAGAGAAGATTGAGGGGGGGACATGATAGCGGTTTTCAGGTATCTAAAAGGGTGTCATAAGGAGGAGGGAGAAAACTTGTTCATCTTGGCCTCTGAGGATAGAACAAGAAGCAATGGGCTTAAACTGCAGCAAAGGGAGGTTTAGGTTGGACATTAGGAAAAAGTTCCTAACTGTCAGGGTGGTCAAACACTGAAATAAATTGCCCAGGGAGGTTGTGGAATCCCCATCTCTGGAGATATTTAAGAGTAGATTAGATAAATGTCCATCAGGGATGATCTAGACAGTGCTGGGTCCTGCCATGGGGGCAGGGGACTGGACTCGATGACCTCTCGAGGTCCCTTCCAGTCCTAGTGTTCTATGATTCTATGATTCTATGATAAGGAAATAGCCTGATTGCATCTGACTAAACATTCGCTGATCTACTCACATATCTGTTATTCCAAGGTTTAGTTCTTCCCTAGGCATGGATGTAGCTGGAAACATTGAGTCCTGGTTTAATTTAAGTCTCCCAGGCGTTCTTCTGGTCACACAAGAGTGGAACAGGAAGGGTGTTTTCAATTTGAAAGCTCACACTCTGTTTCCATCGGCTTTCCTGGTTTCCTTCCAACTCATTTCTTGCTTTCTTGCAATTTTGAGTATCACTGGTTATGTTTTTAACCATCACAGGCAAGATAATTAGTGTTGGGATTCAACAGTTAACCACTGTGAAAAGACTTTAGTTTAATGAATGGCTAGAATATTCAGAAAAGGGTATTAGCCTTCCCATTCATCGCCGTTCTTTTAACCTTCCTTGAATGTGAGAAACCTGGAAATGCAGATTTTATCATATTGATTCCTAGAAGCTGCTGTTTACCATCCACCAGGGTTATCAGTCGACTGGAAAGACAATCATATGGGCTGAGTGCTTC